CCCCAAAACCCCAAAACCCCAAAACCCCAAAACCCCGCAAGTATAAAGAAATTTTACTATCAGACATTGATTATTAGATAATAAATTACTGCTTTGTCATAAGGTAGCTTGTTTATATCATTTGTAAATAATTTAAATTATCAGGTGTTACGGGAATAATTTATCGACTCTTATTATTCTTCTTTTATATTACAGAAAGTGACATTTGGCCTGGGAGGTAATAACTCATTTGCATTACCGATTACATTTCCAATGCTGTTATATTACTATAATAAGAGTGCTGCTTTTTCAAAGATACTATCTCCAATGCCGTGACTATTCTAACGAGACACGTCATTATTGTAGGATGCTTAACTAGGTCTATTACTATTCTTGCTACTTGTCAAGCCACTAGCATTACCACTATTAGTGACACTATTAAGTTGATGCATTAGCATTACCTTTTTCTTTTTCCCAAGTAGTTTTTTCTTGTCTGAACCCTACTTTATATTAACCTATTTCTCAAGGCCAAATATATTGTTTAGATGGGTGTTTTATTGTGAGAGATGAGATGGTCTTTCACTGCCTTGAGATGATTTTTTATCATATGTAGAGCCTTCATTATTTGAGTCTTCAAAAAACGCTTATTAAGATTGAATTCTTTTTAAGAAATCTTTTCTCTCTAGAATTGATCCTTGCTTTTGATATTACTAGGGCATTGCAAAAAAAGCAGAAGTTGTTTTTTGTGGACTATGAAATTAATCATCTAGCATTTAGGATGCACTTTCAAAGGGATTTTTTGTTTATGGGCTGTTTTGAATTTAAATTTACTATGCATTGAAGGATTTCAATGTTTATCTTGGCTCATTGAATTATGGAGTACTCAGTTCCTATCTTTTTTCATGTAATACATTTAGCTAACTAAGGTATATCATTTGCTATTATTCCTAAGATTTTCGGTTATCAATCAATTAATCGATTAGATTGGGTTTTGCTTAGATTCTCTAAATGACATCATCTTAATTACCAGGAACAGTTATCATTGATTTTTTTATTTTAGTTAATTGAATTTAATCTTTTTAGTCCTTGGAATTAGACTTGATTTCGATTTGGATTCTATTCTAGACCGATTATTATTAGTCTTTACTTTTAGACCTAAACATCTGTTTATCACTATTATTCAGGCTACTATTGTATCTCTATTGACGTAACTGTACTTTACTCTATGAAAGCTCTTCTTTCCCATCAGTCTTTAGTGTTTGCATAGACTAATGCTGAGGAATCATATTTTAACTAATAGGATTTGTTTTGAACTAGTCCTTTAAGCCATTTAATTGCATAGAGGTAGCATTCACATTATTATGAATATGTATACTTTAAACATTTTATATATTTATGCTCCCAATAGTTCCATTACTCATTAATGATACAACACTTTCAGCAGATTGTTTTAAAGGATTAAATAAGGGAGTTCCAGGGACTATATTGATATGATGATTGCTATTATTAATTACTTGGCCACCTTTATTTACATGAAAAATCATTTATTGGTTCTGCTATTTACTGACAATATTCAAATGATCTGGTATATTTAATAAGGGTTGCTGCTAAACCGGAACTAATCTCGATGTTGAAACTAAAGAGTCATTTGGATCGCAACTATTTTCATTTGGGGTAATGCTTAGCTTCAATGGGGATTATCTTTTATGCTGAGTCTATGGTGTAAGTAAATTCTTTGGATCTTTAATTTTTGTAGAATCCTTTTATAATTATTATAACTCTGGCAATATGCTCGGTAGTTTCTAATTCTTGACGTTCAACGTTTTATTGTTTGTTAATGATTATTTTACTGCTTGATTCTTATATTCATCATAATGCTTATTCATGGACTACCTTAAAGGCTCTACTCTATGAGATCTTTCAGGTTGACTCATTTTCCTTTTTTCATAATGATTGACCATTTTAGGCGAATCTTCCTCATGAATTGGTATTTAGTTATATAAACCGCTAGAGAATATAATTTTGTCGCAATTTTTCTTTAATATGTGCATTTATTCCATCAATGGAGATCCTATCTCAGTTTGAAATAAATTTCTACTTTCTCTGTATTATTTATAGCTATTGTAGATATCGGACTCATTTTCTTATAAATCCTTGTAACGATCACAATCTTCTGATTAAATTGATTTTCTAAATGACTTTACTCTTTTCTTAGTATTCTCTTAACTGGATTGCAATAGCTAATTTTATCTTTGATTCGTGATACTTATGGGCTGAACTTTTTAATTTTGGTTCTCGATGTTTAAGGCCTGAAGCATTGGAGCACTTTGATTTCTTCCAATCATTGGCAATTTAGGTTACTCCAGGTTTTGCTGTGTATTTCTACTAGCCTTATTTTGGGTGAATTCGGCATCTGCAAATTAACGACTTGAACTATTTGAAATACGTCCATTAGATTCTTATGAGTTAAGTCTTTACTACGAACCACAACGTGATTCATTGTTTCTTTTAGCAAAAAAGTCTGCAGGGAAATTTCTTTTGGCAGAATTATTGCTGATCTTTTTGCTGGCGATTCTGCTTACAGATCGTTTCTTACTAAAATATCAATGAACATAATAATTACTTGCTTGAGTTCTGAGATTGCAAGGTACCTTGTAGGTTCTAAAACTGCTGAGTTTCCATTCTGCCATGATTATTTTGATATCTCTCCATATCCTCATATGCAATTTATTGCAAAACTTATGAGTTTTGGTATTTAAGTTGTCTGTGTTGCCTAGATATACCACCTTGTTTAGGATGCGCCAAAGATTCATCATTAATTTAGAGATAATTCTTCGCAGTAATATCTGGACTCTCTGAAACACTCCTCTTCTCTCTTTTCTGCGAACTTTCATTTTCTAAGGGAAAATCAACATGTAGAAAGCGTACAAATGTGCTTATTTCTATTATACATTATTTGATTAGAGGGCAAATGATTATTTAGAAGGTTATTCTAAAATTCATGTCCAATATTACTCATTTATATGCTTTGTAAATACTTTAATATTATCTTCGATGATATAATAATTCATACAATTATTATCACGGGGGTTTTGGGGTTTTGGGGTTTTGGGG